TGGAACAATAGCCTATGACCAGCAGCAAAGAGGCGAGCTTAGACCTAATCCAAAGAACCAGCAACAGAATAATGTAAATAATTTAAACTCGGATGGGGCTCGCCCAGCAGCGATTGGAACGGACCCCTGTCAGACGTGCCGCCAGAACCAAGACAAAATTCAACATCAACAACCAAAGGCGAAGACGATGTTGATCGACATCCAGGAAGAATCAACGTCCGAAAAACCGGGAGTACCTCCGGCAAAAGTGATGATGACACTAAGGAATCCACAATCGTTATGAACCAGTCATTGCAGTTGCCTCAAATTGGGGACTTGGCACAGGAAATAATCAGATCTATGCGCCAACAAGAGTAAGGTTTCGTATACCAGAGACCTATAGTATAAAAAGTGGACCGTGTTCATGGTTGATGATGGATCAACCGTGAACTTAATTAAGTTTAGTGCATTAAATTGGACTACGAGGTTTGATCCGAGGGAGGTCACTACCTTGAGCGGTATTACGACACACACCATTCCGACCATAGGTTCGGCAATATTAGGAATATTAGGTTCGGCAATATTAACCATTAATGAAAAATCCGCAAAATTCCACATAGTATGGAACAATTTTCCTATTGAAGAGGATGGAATGTTAGGCGGAGATTATTTGATCGACACCAATGCAGTAATTTCGTATTATCATAACAGCCTAATGGTAAATAGTGATGTAATGAACCCGATTCAGCCGGACCCTAAATTGATTGAATCCGTAAAGAAATTTCCAACGCTCAATGGAGTGAAAAGTGTCAGATCTTTTCTTGGACTCTCCGGATATTACCGTCGCTTTATCCAGGACTACTCGAAGATAGCCAAGCCTCTCAGTGATTTAACGAAAAAAGACCAAGCATATAACTGGGCACCGCCACAGGAAAAGGCTTTCGAAAAGCTGAAGCGGATACTTGTGAGGCTCCTATCCTAGCTTTTCCTGATTTTGAGAAGAACTTTACCTTAACCACAGATACTTCGGATTATGCAATAGGAGCGGTTTTATCACAAGAAGTAGATGGTCATGAAAGGCCTGTAGCGTATCTTTCAAGGTTGGTGAATAAAACGGAAAGAAACTATACTACCACGGAAAAGGAGTGTGTTGCAGTTTTATACGCAATGAATCAGTCTAGACCTTATCTCTTATGCAAGAAATTTACCCTGATTGCTGATCATGAACCTTTAAACTTTATGCATAATCGCAAGGACCCAGGACAAAGGCTAATAAGGTGGATGTTTAAATTCACAGACTACCAATATACATTCAAATATAAACTCGAAAAATTAAATTGCAACGCAGATGCACTCTCAAGGAACCCGATTAACTTGCAACAGTATTTAGACGAAAATGTTCAGAAAGAAAAAGAACTGAATGAAAATATCCCGAAGATTCAGGTAATGATGCTAAAGTGTAAGACTGGAGGAAAGGAAACAGATGAGAAAAAGAAAGTAGAGCCATGGGAATCGATTGGTAAACGGAAGAGGGCTCATACTATCTCGAATGAACCAAGGACAAAAGGAAGGCCCGTTAGGGCCAAGACGAATAAAGAAAAACCAAATTTAGATCACAGTACCATTGCTGAAAGAACTCGAAGCAAAAAGTCTGTAAAAACCACAGGAAAAACTCTCCGACTACCGAATAAACCCAGACCCGGTACTTCTAAACTTAAACTGGAGGTTGAAAAAGGGGCCAAATTAGACAAGGATAAACCCTTACCCAAGAGGCTAAAGGCGTTACGAAAAACTACATCGGATGCGGCATCAGATGATTCGGGATTGAAAACTGGTGAATCGAACAAGGAAATCTCGCCTAAAGTTACAGAGCGGAAAGGAGTAACGTCGACTGATGAATCTGCCATCGAAGTTGCCGTGAAGGAGGTCGATAGTAACGAGTTCGTTAAAGATTCGTCTTTTGGACAATATCTGCCGAGTGGACGACACAAACGGGTACAGGATATTTTAGATCGATTGGAAAGGGAAAACATTAACGCCAGTGTTTCGGATTCTGATAACGAGATCGGATTGAAACAGGCAAGCTCCTCTCGGGGACCCTTGTTATCCTTAACTAGGATGGAGGATAAAGATCCGAAAAATGTCCAAGACAGTACGGATGACAGACCCCCGATAGAAGATCCGCGACATAGTGGGCTGAGAAAGGAAACCGAAACGGAAGGGGACAACTCAAGCGATGAAGTTCAGAGTGATAAATCGGAATTTACTGAACGAATAGAGCTAGAAGTTAGTGGAACTCAAACCAGCGGAAACTCTGGAGAAGACGATGAATTAGCAGAAAATGAAAGTTCTTCTAAAAGATGCGAAGAACGAGCCCCGGCACAGAGGACTAGTTTATCGGCAAACGAAGTGTGGAAATCAGCAGAAAAATTCGAAGCCAGTTTGCGAAGACATAAAAGTTTAGATAATGAATCGTACTATTGGGACGACATGGGCCTTGCGCGAAACAACCGAACCATAGAAATGCCTTCTCATTTCTCAGATGGAGACGACCCCCCCCCCCCCCCCCCCAAGAACTACAAGAGACACTATGGAGCCTTGACCCATATGATGAAATAAATGATTCTGATGAGGTAATAGCGAATAGAATAACGAAGCTAGTGGAAGATTCGCAAAAATTAATGAAAACTCACCTAGAACACGACAGTGGCTCGGACACAGATCGCCCGGATGAAGATGTAAATCAACGTCTCTCGGATAGGACTAAAGAAGAAAGTCCCGAAAGAATTAAGGAAGCTGAAGAAACTTTAAGGCTGCCACGATATCGAGAGATATCAGTAACCCCAACTATTAAAACAAGAATACCGGAAACCAGAAGTACTTCTATGGTTAAAGGACCTCGACTTATGGTAAGATTCGAAGGGCTTGAGGGCATACCCGAAGAGTTAGATCCTAGAAAGAAGAGCCCTGTAGAATTACACTTTTCAAAAACACCCGTAGATGATGAATTATTCTTCTTGTTACCGCCGACAGGACCAATTAACCAATATCGAAGACCGGAAGACTATAACAACCCAAGTTCAAGCAGTGAAACCGGGAGCGGAAATTCTTCAATAGGACCTGCAAAATATATCTTACAAAATAATGTAAGTACGAGCCAACAATGTTTAACCTATCGATGAGATAACATTGTACATTTTATATCACGAGACTGCAATGACCAAACTGCTATCTCGAAATTATTAAGTGAAATTGGGGCTATAGACCTACGCAATATGAAATCCTTGAAACCTAAGGTCGGACAAATACTAACGACCATATATAAAAACCATAATATTTTCTCTGTAGTCATAAAAGACAGATATAATGACTCCATTACTATAGACACTATAAAAGTCGAACTTACAAATTTAAAGAAGATACTGATTAATAGAAATATAGTAATTTCCGAATTGCTAGACGAGGGGACTATACTGATGACCTTGGACCTGGATTACTAACAGAAATATTAATAAGAATTTTTGAGAAGAGTCCTATAAAAGTAATTGTTTGTTATGGGAACATGGTTCTCCCGCCGGCAAACCAGCGGACAGAAATAATTAAAACACTACATGACAGCCTAGTGGGTGGCCATAAGAGTATTAACCAGACATACCAAAAAAATTCGATCAAGATATTATTGGCTAGGACTACGAAAGGACATATTAAATTACGTACGGAAATGTCCGAGTTGTCTTGAGAAGAAAATTGATCGTCACAAGACTAGGGAACCGATGCTGATTACGGACAGACCAATCGAGGAGTTCGATAAGGTATCGATAGACACCGTACGAAAATTACGAACCACTCCTAGTGGAAATTCTCACCTGCTGACCATGCAATGCAATCTGACCAAATACTTAATTGTAGTACCAACAAAGGACCTTAGAGCAACCACTATCGCTGACGCATTAGCCAGACACTTAATATGCCAATTCGGTGCCCCTAGAGCAATATTGTCAGATCGCGGAACAAGCTTTCTTTTGGAGATTGTAGAATCACTATTACAATTATTCAAAATTCATCATTTAACAACTTTCGGATATAGACCTCAGACTAATGGATCTCTTGAGAGAAGCCATGCACCATTAATCGATTTCTTACGGATATATTCGGAGCGTTTCAACGACTGGGATCGGTTAACCTCCTTTGCGGTTTTTACATAATACAAAAACAAGTATACATAATGGATCTGGTTACACCCCCTTTGAACTAGTTTACGGACGAATCGCTCGTTTCCCCATAAAGATACCTAGGGAGGAAAAATTAGGGACCTATAATCAATACCTACGCGATCTAGTCTTACGTTTGACAGAACTAAAGATAGTTGTAGGGGATAATCAAATTCGTGAAAAGGAAAAATCTAAAAACCAATATGATAAACACGCTAGACCCTTTAAAGGGAAAGTCGGTGATTACGCCTGGATATTAAACGAACCTCGGGTAGGAAAAGCCGATAGTTATTGTAAAAAACCCCTAAATCGTCGAAATTTTAAATCATAAGAACGTTTTATTAGAATTACCCAATGGAAAAACAATACGGAAGCATATGGATAAACTTAAACTTCAGGCGTAGCTTTATAAATTCAATTACTCACTTATCTTATCTGTTCTATATTCTTCGTCTATACTATTTACTTTGTTCTGTTCTTTCAGGTACTATTTCTTTTAATATACTTCCTTTCATTTAATATGTATCTAATCTTACTTTCCTTTCTCTCCGTATTCGCCCCGTCTATTATGGACCCCCAAGCTTATTCTATAGAAAAGTTAGACAACAACCCAGGAATTTATTACGAAAGAATAGATCCAATGAGAATAAAGAGGGCAGATTGGAAAGTATACATATCCATAATTATAACATAATGGAACGTTACGTAACATGTCAGAAATTAAAATCATTATTAATTAGAAACTTTTTTTTTCTTTTATAGAAATATTTTGGATCCTGAAAGCGACATGAGATGTACACCATTGAAAGAATTACCTTTGCCATTAAAAACGTTATGTAAATATCATTACGATAATCGAGCTAACTTTGTATGTGCCGTTACAAATGTACAAAAATTGTTTACATGGATTAAAGATATACGGAAGCAATCTGAACTCGAAGGTATCGTTGAAGTTTACAGTAATACATATAAAAATTCATCGAAATATTTCGAAATAGCTATGTCCAACACTGAAAATAAAGATTATATACAGACTGTTCTATATTCAATGTATAATGGAACAATAAATTAATAATTAAACGAAAATTCTATAAGTTTTACTAATTAATATTCGAATAAAGTTAACTATGGGGTCGAAAGGTTCCCGAAATCAAATAAGACTACTATAACGCTTGCTTAGATAGATAGATGAATAGATAGAGAGAGAGAGAGAGTATGTTTATGTTAGTAATATTTCATAAATCTAAGAAAAGAGCTTCTGATCGACCTGACGTAGCTATAAGGACTTTCGATTGAAACAAGTTTAACATAACATTTGTCCAAATTATATAACTGCAACATAATGTTTTAAAATTGTTGCACAAATTCACACAATATAATTCATTCTTATCCTTAGTCTTACGAAACTTTTAATGATTCTTTTATCAACGTATCGAATTCTTCTTTATTTTTGATTGGTCCATCTTGCACAACCTGTTGCAAATCATCACTTACTTTTTCATGATTTACTTCATATATATTACAATAACAAGTTGTTTCACAATTATCAACTTTTTGCAACTTGATTATCTCCATTAAAAAATTTATGTTTTTTTGAACTTCAGAACTAACTTCTCCTTTATTTGGACTTTAAAAATTATGAATATGGCTGAAGCAATCTTTTTAAACTCTTTATATGAAGTAACTTTACTCAAGTATTCAATGATTCTTAAAAAACATCTTTTATCTGCCAATCTTTGTTTTGGAAACACTTCAAGCGAGTAATAGATGTTATTAAATGTCCAATATCTCCCCTCAACCAACAATTTGGCAAAACAGCATGTTTTACTTTTAATACATAATCATGGCATTGAACTTTGAATTGATTTAAAATACAATCATTGAAGATTGCACGAACTGCGTTTTGCAACCCAAAAGATCCATCTGTGACTACTTCTTTAGGTTTTGATGCATCTAAATCAAGCTATCTTCGTAAACATTCTTGTAAAAAAATGGAAGCATGGTATTCCGATAGAAATTGAAAAAGTAGATAAATATGACCGTCTAAAGAAGCACTTAATACGTACAAAAAAACATGAGAACTGGTTTCTCCGTTGATTTTTACTCGTTTAACAAATTGTCCAGCTGCATCAATGGACACACTAGTACCAATATTTTCATTGTAAATACTTTTCCATAAATCGTTTTATTCTGTTGAACAAAGAGTAACCAAAAATAGGAAATCACCAACATCGTAAAAATTATATTAGAAGCCTTTTTAATGATCTTCATCAATAATAGTGCTTCAATAATATTTTTATTCGGTTCTACACCATATTGTTTAAACTTTGCCAATTTACTGTGACGGTCCAGTCTGATTTGTCCCTTTTTTCCCTTTGCAAAATAACAACCCGTCGTGCACGAGACAATCAAAGAAAAGCGGTAATTGAGCAAAGGCGCTTTTCTCACATACGAGTATATGCAAATGTGTTAGAGCAACTCAGCGAAAACATTACCATATAAGGAACGTGACTTCACGACCGTGGGAAATTTATTGTTTACAATGGAAAATCGACAATTATAAAGTTTTTCAAATGAACAAAAGCATTTTTTTAGTCAATTTTAATGCGCTGATCTTGAATTTCATGTTGTTATAATTCTCAAGTCTGTATTTATTGGTTTAATTTACAAGTTAATAATGTTAGTTATTTTGCAATAAATAATTATATTGTTAATTCGAATATGCGATTACGTCCGCGACGTATTGAAGCAGAGAAGCAAGAATTTGACACTTTGGTGACTGATTATTCACTAAGTTATCAATAAATAAAAAATTTATAATTTTTTTAAACAATAAAAATTGCATTGTTAGATATCGAATCGATCATACATTGATATAAAATTAATGATTTTGACTGTTACTAATTTACTGATTTTTAAATCGTTAAAAAAGAAATTAGCAAATCCGTTTTTTAATTATTATTCAAAATTAGATAGCTACATTAATCATTTTTAACTTGCATAACATTCTTCTAACCACAAGCGATTTTTTCATGTAAGAATTTTCCATAAATTTATTGTAAAATTGGCGTAATTTAATCATTGAATTGTATAACTTATAACTTTAAAAAGCGATTTTTCCTCGAGAAGTAATTTATGTTAAAAAATTCGTCACTTCAAGTTTAATTTTTTAAATCATATAATTGCAATTTCGATCGAGCCATTTTACAACAAAATATATGCAAAGTTTATATCAATTTAAAAATAGCGTTGTAGGGGCTACGAAGCATAGAAAGAAGCCCATTTCGCAAGTATAAATTCGCTCGTCGCTGCGGCAAGAGGATTCACTATCCTACCTTGCTTAGCAGCGCGAGCATTGTTTAGAAATAAAGCCTCAGCAATTCCCTGAGATGAATTTCTTTAGTCAGTGGTTAGCCTGCTAATTCCTCTTCTTTCGATATCTAAGTGCTCAGCTTATAAGACTATCTCTCTTATGAGAAAAAAGTAGCCTTAGATATTTCCCTACTTCAAATATAATAATTGTTGAGAAATTAAATTGAGTATTGGTTGCGGCGCTGTCGGGCCTCTTCCCGATAGATGCAATCACGCTCAATTGCATTTCAAGATGATTCATCGAGTTAGAAAACTTTGGGTTTACTACTCGACAAACTTTCATATTTCATTTAGAACATACACGTGTCATCTTCTTGCTACTCTCGGAAACGCTATTACGAATACAACAGAAAGAGTCCGAACTATTATTTTGATAACGCAAGAAAGATTCAAAGGTTACATTACGTAGTTTATGTAGAACATAAGTACTATGAACCAATGGTCCTTCAATTTTTCTATACTGTACATGTTCATCTGCTTCACTTTTTTGTATTGTTAAAGCTTTTTCATAAATTAATTTAGTTTTGTATTTTTCTAAAAGCGTGGTTGGAAGTGGTCGTTTTCCAAAATGTTTAATATTAATCGAATCCTTTGTTTTAATTTAAAAAATACAACCTTCTGTTTGTGAGTCTAAATTTAAGTGATGAAATCCATTAATTTTATTTTTGCATTCTTTGCAATATCCTTTAAACTTTATAATCTGGTCCTTTTTTGTAAAATATCCCTTTTCAAACATAAAAAAAACATTTCAATCGTAAAACATCATAAACTTGCTTAATAATTTCATGAGTCCATCCTCGTAAAACGGTGTACCGACCATTTTTTGATAAAACTGCCATTATTAACGACCACTCTTCATTGCTGAAATTTATATTAAAACTTAAATTAGGACAATCATCAATTGTTCTTTTTACTTTCACTTGTAACTAGACTTTTGCACATCTTAAGTTCCATTTTAATTCATCAGCTAAGCCTTTCCAGTTATTAAACACATATAAATGTATTATTATGCTATAAATAATATTACTTAAGGCATTGCTAGCTGTTTTCCAAACCGGATCTGATCTAGAAATTAATTGGCCATCTTCGATAAAGACTTCTTTATCATATAATATAGCAACTATCTCTTCTACTGTTGTAGCAGCTTTCGATGGCACATTGACTAGAAAACATGAACAATGATATTCGATTAGCTATGACATTGAAATTACAGAATCTGAAAATAATAAATAAATTAATCGATAAAACGTTATGTAATAATTTAAAGCTACACACTTATTGTGAATATATACGACAATTTCCATGTATACTTAAAAATAGGCAAGATGATTAATTTTAAATATTGTATAATTCTAGAGTAGAGCCTTGTATTTTAGAATAGAATTTATATATCTGAAACATAATAAGGAATTTATTAACATCAAAAACACAAAATTTCTAGTATATAATGCACGATTCAGACAGCTAGTATATAATTGCATTTTGTTTTGTAAGCGTAAAAGTAAAGCTAAATTGTAATTAAATTATGCATTGTAAAAATTATCATATTTTGAAATAATCAGTATTTACAAATCTTACACGAATATAGCCTACAATGTTATTCATCAGCAATCATAAATCACAATGTTTTATGGTAATAATTATTAATAAACATACTTCCAAGCAGAGCCGAGTTTAGACCTTTCCCGACCCCTGGGCCAAAAAGTCGGCGGGGCCTACTTAAGGCGGATGATTTGCCAAGAAATTTTCGAAATGATTTTCTTAAACTATTTGGGAGAAAAAAAACAACATTTATATCCAATCTTATTTATTATTTTAGAACATTCTTTTTCTCTCGCTTTTATTTAAAAACATTTCTTTCTAATTTTTTTATTGACAAATTCTTCTATAATTTCTTTAAAATCTATTGTCTCTAATAATTCATTCTCAATACATAGAAGACTGTACTCATTCAAACGTTTTTGAGACATGGTAGTGCGGTGCTCGTCTTTAATTAATTTGAGTCTTGAAAAAGATCTTTCTCCACTAGCGCTGGTTGGCATAATACTCAACAAAATTCTTAGTGAAATTTCAACATTCGTAAAAACCTTAAAGAGATTCTGGTCATACATAAATTTGTAAATTTCACCGATGCACACTTTGCCTTTGAATTCAGCTTTGATTGACAGATAACTCTTGAAGTGAATAAACTCTGAAGCTATATTTGCGCTGTCCAAATCCTTTGGATAGTATTCACATAATTTCTCAGCTGATTTTTCAATCCCATTGTCATCTAAATCCAAAATATCTATAATGAAAGAAAATCTTTCCAACAAAATTTTGTATTGCTCACTTCTGCGAGATAATTCAGCTGACAGCCTATCGATTGCTACGAAGAAAACTTCGACTTTGAATTTTTCTTTCCCCTGCAAAACTGTATTTTCTGACGAGTTACTTCGATGCTCAATTCTGGTACTTATTCTTTTAGCGCGTTTATTCATGGTTTTATAGGTTTCAGTGCTTACTAATTTTTTAGCTTCAGCTTTGTAGTGGTCAAATTTCGTTCGTAAGCTTTTTACAAAAACTTCCA